TTTGATCCTCCTCGATTGAATCATTCGAGAAAAAGCACTCTAATAATGATATAGTTATCCAAAGGTAAGTATTAAATTAGAATCATCGAACCGAAATATACAACCTAGCCAATTCACAGGTTGTCTCAACAATAATATTATTTGAGATTCACATAATTATATTTCACATTAAAATTAATTTTTAACAACTTTTAATGAAATAATGATCATGCCGTTCGTCTATTCTTCTTTCACTTCGTTTTCATGATGATTCAAATCTTCATGTCCATGATAAGTGTTAGTAAATTCGGAGAGTGTGGAAAATATCTTTCGGAACACTTCGAACACGTTCATCGTATAAAAAAGAATCAGAGCAAAAAATCCATCGTTCTTTTTGCTGATCAGTTGCTCGTTTTTGTTGTAATGATGAGATGACATTTTTTTCAGAGTGTCATCAATTGCGACTACGAGAGAAGCCACAAGAGCTCTTTCCTGGTGCATTCCGTCACTCACTTTATGATTCATTGATCACTTGAATGACAGAACTAATATTCTTTTCACACATCTTAAAATAGGTTCGGAATTCATCAATTCCGAGCTTTCCTTTCTTGTCGCTCAATCCAAACCACCATGACCCTATTCATGAACCTTTCAATAAAAACTCCAATCAAAAAAGTCAAATCTTTCACAACACAAAAAAATGCTCAAACACACTTCACACATCTTTTCGTCGTCTTCGTCGTTGTTGCTGCAGAGCAATTTGACTAAAAACGTTTCGACTCACATCCGATCCAATGCCAAGATTGCATCCAATTTGCAAATACAAAATTATCAGATTAGAGGATTCAAGTCTTTTCGATTTTCCGAACAACATCATGTAAATAACAACTGTCCTACGAGTTTGAATTTGCAGTTTAATCGGAATGCATCACACCTACAATCACCACTGAGTCTCCACCACAACTCTGATGGCGGACTAGTAGTCATGAAGAGATCCTATCACACCAATATGAATCCAAACTTTGGTGGCAGTGGTGGAATGGGTGGAAAGATGCCATGGGAAACTACCTTTGAAAAGGGAGAAGCATTGAAAAAGTTCGGAATTGATCTGACTGAAGAAGCTCGGAAAGGAAAATTGTATCCAATCATTGGACGTGATGATGTCATTCGAAGAACCATTCAGGTGTTGTCACGTCAAACAAAGAACAATCCAGTGATCATTGGTTTACCTGGTGTTGGTAAGACAGCCGTCGTTGAAGGACTAGCTCAAAGAATTGTGAAAGGAGAAGTTCCAGATTCCATTAAGAAAAAGAGATTGATTGCACTTGACTTGGCAGCAGTTATTGCTGGTTCAAAATTTAGAGGTGAATTCGAAGAAAGAGTTCAAGCCATTCTCAAAGACATTCGAGAATATGAAGGTGAAATTATTTTATTTATTGATGAAATTCACATGATTGTGAATGCTGGAAATGCACAAGGTTCAGTGGACTTGTCGAACATGTTAAAACCTGCTCTTGCAAGAGGAGAGTTGCACTGTATTGGTGCTACCACTTTGGATGAATACAGAGTTCATATTGAAAAAGACAAGGCACTCGCTCGTCGTTTCGAACAAGTACTTTTGAATGAACCTTCTGTGATTGATTCCATTGCCATGCTTAGAGGCAGAAAAGCAAATCTCGAGGCTCATCATGGTGTTCGAATTAGTGACAATGCCATTGTGAGTGCCGTGGTTCAATCCGATCGATACATCTCTGATCGATTTCTTCCAGATAAGGCACTCGATTTAATCGATGAAGCAGCAGCATCCATTCGATTGCAACAAGAATCCAAACCAGAACATTTAGAAAAGATTGATCGTTCAATCATCATTTCTCGTATCGAGTTAGAATCTTTGAGAAATGAACAAGATCCAGCCAGTATGGAACGAAGAAAGAAACTTGAAAAGAAAATTGAGGAAGAACAAAAACAAAGTGATCTCCTCACTAAGAAATGGCAAGAAGAACGAGATCGATTAAGGACTACAAAAGAAAAGAAACAACAACTTGTTCAGTTGGAGAAACAACTCGAAGAGGCCTTCCGTAAGGCAGACTATCAAACTGCTTCAAGACTTCAATACAAGACCATTCCAGATTTGAAAAAGGAAATTGAACAAATCTCTACTGGTTTCACAATGATTAGTGACTCTGTTTTGGAAGCTGATATTTCTCGAATTATTTCTCGCAGAACTGGAATTCCACTTGAAAATTTGTTAATTGGTGAAAAAGAGAAATTGCTAAAAATGGAAGAACATCTTTCCAAATATATCATTGGTCAGGACGAAGCCATTCGTGTCATTTGCAATACCATTAGAATTTCGAGAGCTGGATTGACAGATCCAAACCGACCACTAGGTTCATTCCTTTTCTGTGGTACAACAGGTTCTGGTAAAACAGAATTGGCAAAACAAGTTGCAAAATTCCTATTCGATGATGAGAATGCAATGGTCCGAATTGATTGTTCTGAATTGATGGAGTCACACAGTGTTTCCAAATTATTGGGAGCTCCTGCTGGTTATATTGGCTACGAGGATAGCCCACAACTCACAGAATCTGTTCGACGAAAACCCTATCAAATTGTCTTGTTCGATGAAATTGAAAAAGCTCACAGAGATGTCTTGAATGTTTTGTTACAATTATTGGATGAAGGTTTTCTCACTGATTCAAGAGGTAATCATGTCAATTTCAGAAATACCATTGTCATTATGACCTCTAACGTTGGATCTGAAATTTTTGCTTCACTTCCACCAGGAGTTCCTTCAAGTGAAGCCAAGAAGGAAGTGAATGACTTGTTTAAACATTATTTCAGACCAGAGTTTTTGAATCGTATTGACAATATTGTCTTCTTCAATCGATTGAACGAAGCGAATATGAAACAAATTGTGGATATTCAACTTTCTCGAATTGCTAAACAACTCAAAGAAAGGAGAATGCTTTTGGATGTGAGTCAACAAGCAAAGGATTGGTTAGCTCATGTTGGATTTGATTATCATTTCGGAGCTCGACCTCTCAAACGAGCCATTCACAGTTATTTATTGACTCCACTTGCAAAACTCTTGTTGGAAGGAACCGTGAAGGAAAATTCCAAAATATTTGTGGACTTTTCTAGTAAGGTCAATGAAGATAATGAGGAAACATTGGATATTACGAGTACTCCTCTCGAGGGTCAAGTTGTGGAGACCAATGTTGAAGAATTGTAATTGTCACAGAACTGATATGGCAAGACCTCCGTATAGAGTTCAGTGCAAATAGTCAAACAACTTGTAGAGTCGAGAAAAATCTCCTGAAAATAGATGTGTTTGCTTTGACTATCGATCGTATTGAATGATAATAAATAATGCATTCGCAACTAGTTTTCTCTTTTAAAAGGTTTCAAATGGCAACCATTAAAGACATGTGGCAAAAATTACAAAAAATTATATATTCGTAGTGTACAACACCCAATACTAGTTTCCTGTTTGTTCATCATCATTGCGAATTGGTTCAATTCAATATCTTCTTCTTACAAAACTTGCATCCACGTCAAACCACAACTAAAATAGCAAAATGAAAAAAATGTCGCCAGCAACCGTTTCAACCAGCAAGTTAAAGTCATCCTTGTTTGGTTCATCGTCGTCCTCTCAAAATAATCATCATGTATCGGAATCATCAAAATCAAATAATCCAGTATCACCATCGTATCGGGATCGAACAATTAGTGAACAGGAAGATGATTTACAAGAATCGGAATTTGATCAAGTTGCAATGGAGATGGGAAAATCAAGTCAGGCGTTAAAACAAATTGCTGGAGAAATGCGTGATGAAGTTACGTCACAGGTTTCTTCCCTGAAAAGAACCACAACCACTGCGTCGGAAACACAATCTGGGATGGGCGGAATAATGAAACACATGAAACAAGTGTTTGAAGTGAGAACTTGGAAACAAATGTGGCAACTAGTTGGAATTATTGTCGTTACATTTTTCATTGTATATTATTCGATAAGGATATCGTGGTATTTTTTAATGTCGTCCTCAACAGAAGCAAAACAGTAATTGTGAGAGAACCACCATCATCACCATCACAAGATGAATCATCCCAAACAACAAGTTATTCACTGGACTGTTTCACATAGTAAAACGAGGCGAAAACCAAACTGAAGAAACTTATGTGACGAACCAATGTCATCAAAATTTAATACAACTCTTTCTCTACGAATTGTTGTTAAAACAAATCATGCTTAGATAAATAACAATCTAGAAAGTGTGTTGTTCAGGTTAAGATGAACACCACCTTTCCCTACTATACACTTAACTATACATATTACTCCTTTCTGAGATAGAATCTTCTGTACTTGTCATCCACTCTATCCAAATAATAAGCACCAGATGAAATGTAGTCGGTTGGTGTGGATGAAACAAAATCATGTTTAAGGTAAACATCCATGTTGTGATCCATTGTCTTGGAATATTCTTCTGGTGTAATTTCTTGTCTTTGATTTAGTCTGTTTGGCAAATCGAGAATATTCTTGATATCCTCCAATTGATATCTGTGCTTCTTGTGAGTGGTCTCTCTTCCTTGGAATTCAAACATGGCAGCTGCCAATCCAGATCCATAAGAGAACAAATTGATACGTTTGTCTTGGAGCTCTTGACCTTTCAAACCAACCAATGAAGTCAATCCAGCATATAAGGAAGCAGCATAGGTATTTCCCAACTCTCTTGGAAGGTAAGTACTGGCTCCAACCTTTTGTTCATACATCTTCTTTGTAAGTGCAATAAAGAACTTGCTTGATTCATTGTCATTGTAGGTCTCTTCTCTTGGTTGACTTCTAGCATATTGATTAATCTTTGACTTGGTTTCGTCATCTTTAATTCCATACTTGGCATACAAGGACTCCAATTGACTTTCCTCAGCCAAAGCAAAATCACTGTAAACCATACGAGCAAAGGACTTTTGAACAAGCTTATTGTAAGGAGCATGGAAACACAAATAGTCCAAATCAGCCACAGAAATTGGCTGTTCGTGTCGGGATCTCAATCTCTCATAGCAAATATCCAAAGCCTTCAAATAGCAAACATTTGAATATTGTCCATCCACTGTTGGGAAATAACTAGTCTTCTTTGGCTTGTAAAAGTCATAAGCGTGTTCCATATGGAAAGCCTTCAATCTGAAATCACTGAAACTCAAAGGAGCATCTCTACCTAGCAACATGGCAACAGCACCAGCACCTCCGGTTGGTCTTGCTGGGCCCTTGTCGTATTGAGCAATATCAACAGCAACCACAACACTGTAAACATCATTCTTCTTGGTGGTGGTATGTTCCGAATTAAGCCAATAGAGTCCATTGAAGAGAGCATTAGTTGCTCCGTAACAAGCGTTAATAGTATCAATTCCTTCCATTTCAGAGTATTCTACTTGAGGGAATTCTTGCATAATAAAGCTCTTAATGGATTTGGATTTGTCGATGGCTGATTCAGTACCAACTTCGAGCCTCTTAACTTGCTTTGGATCAATGGAGTACTTTTCAAAGAGGCGCTTTACAGCACTCATTGCAAGAGAGACTGTATCTTCTCTTTCCAAATCTACAACGGCCATTCTGGATTGTGCCAATCCAATCGTGTACTTTCCCTCACTGACTCCATCATGTTGTTCCAAAGCAGATTGAGAAACAAAACGATTAGGGAAATAGGCCTCCATACCCACAATACCGAAATGTGGATTATGAGTCTTGGAAGCAACACTGGAGAAGGACGCCTTTTGGCAACAAGACGATGAGGACGACAAGGTAGATTTCAAGAGGGTCGCCTTGTGGTTTACCTTTCGGAGAATATGGGTTGCAGCCTTGTGTGATGAGGGATTCATTTTTTTGCTGTTGGTAAGGTGATTGCTTTTGATTCTTTTAGAGTACAAGTGATGAAAGTGTGAACTAGTGGAAATGTGAAAAAGTGTGCAAAGATGAGTGTGGTCGAGCTCTTTGTGTTGTCTTTCTTTTTTGAAGAGAGGTTAACAGAGATCGCGTTGTAAGCGAGATGGGAAGTGTGGTGTGCGACCGTCATCTTTTGAAATCGGCCGAGAGGAAAGGTTGTCCAAACAGTAGAAGTAATCGGTTCCCGAACTGACGATCCTTTTCAAAAAAGCCGAAGGTCGGGTTGATTATGGAGAATTTGCTATTCTTTCTTTTTAAAGTTGTCTTGCCAAATGCCATCTGGACGTTGTTGTTTCGCTTGCTGAAATGGAAATCTGTAAAAACATGTTGTGTGAAGGTGGTCACAGATATGTTGCTGATTTCACAAGACATATTTCCTTTCGCTAATCTTGAATTAAGCCAAACCTTCGTTGTAGAGCCTCTCGAGACAATATACGACAATGCCAAATCATCTGTTGTATTTAGTTGTTGTTGAATAATGATGATGTTTTAGTAGTATTTCTGAAATATTTTGGTATTGTTATTATTATTGAAATTATTGAAAATTATTTGAGCACACACTAGTAGATTAGCATCATTTACACTTTCATTCCACCTCTTCGTTTTCCTCCTCTTCCTCTAGATGAGGCTCCGCCGCCTCTTTTCTGAGCTTGTCCTGCTGTTCTCCTCTTTGGTTTTGGATGAACTGTCGTGTCCTGTAAAAGATTATCCAAATTTATAGACTCTGGTAGAATGACATATCGAATGTTACTTCCTCTCACACTCATATGCTCCAAAGAGACTGGATTTTTTCCTTTTAATGTCATCTTGACTGCTTTTAAATGTGTGTTCATACTCATATCAACTCCTGATGAATGGTGATAATAGAAATAATAATTGATTTGTGTCAATCGTTGTGGCATATTTCAAAATATTGAACGATGTAAGAATGTAAGGTGAAAAGCACAAGACAATTTTGACAATGATGAACAAAATAAATATATAGGAATTTGAACACTACTCACCTACGATGGTTCCGGCAACAACAGTGCCATTCTTCAATTCAATGGTCACCGATTCTCCACTCAATTTCATAAGGAATCTGTATATTGATTAGAATCAAAATAACACATCCAAAGCATTTCAAAGTTAACCCATATCGATAAAAAAAATAATTTCCATCCGATAAAAACATTTGTTCACATCATCAAGCAAAGGAAACGCATTCACATCCATTCCGATACAAAAATCATATTACGGAAGAGAGTAATGATCATCATCACAACAATTTGTTGAAAAAAAAAACTCACCTCACAAGCCTCATTTTTTTAACTTGAACATGAAGGCAATTTGTTGTTTGTAAATTTTTGAATTGTTTGGAATTTGCATCATCATGAGTCAATGAAATATATCGTCGTCTTCTTCAATGGAAATTTCGTATTAATCAAGATCATGGCCCTATGTGCATTACAGGACTACACTTGTAAATTGTCCATAATAGGTTCTTGCAAAGAAAAAAAATGGTTTCACCTCGTTCTTCTTCCCGACTCATGAATGCCTTGGTGTGCATCGCTACAGGCTCGGAAGAGATGGAAGCAGTTAATATTATTGATGTTTTGAGAAGAGGAAATATTCAGGTTACAGTTGCAAAAGTTCATGATCCACAACAACATTACGATCCATCCAATTTAAGAGTGATCGGATCTCGTGGTGTAAAACTCGAGGCTGATGCTCATTTTGATGATGTCGTGGATCAAGAGTATGGAGCAATCATCTTACCAGGTGGTATGGGAGGAGCCAAAATATTCTCTGAGAATACTAAATTGTTGAATCGATTGACCAAGCAGAAAAAGAGTGAACACGGAATTGTTGCTGCTATTTGCGCAAGGTGAGTAATGCAGAATTTTGAATAATAATTTGAGGACGATCGTGTGTATTCATGTGTGTGTTTGTTATTCAAATTGGATGTTTAATATTTTGTGAATGATCATGCCTTTCAGTCCTGCTCTCGTATTGACCAAACATAACCTTTTGGATGGAGTGAAAAAGGTGACTTGTTATCCATCTTTGAAAGACAAAATGCCACACTATGATTGGCATGATGAGAAGGTGGTCGTCGATGGAAATGTCGTGACATCACAAGGTCCATTCACTGCTGTATTTTTTCGCTCTTAAGCTTATTGAGCTTATGGTTTCTAAGGAAGCCAGCCAAGAAGTTGCAAAGGGTTTGCTTGTACATTAGATGGTGTGAGATTTTATTTCATTCTTCAGATGATTGATGTAATTTATTAGTCTGTGATGACATTAAACGATTCTTTAGAAAAGGTTGTCCATTGAATGAATCGATGTTTGTTATTCTGGCAGCATTTTGTGTGCATTGTTCGTTCAGGGTGAACAATGAAGGTGTAACTTTCATCCAGCACTTGGCCTGCCCTCAAAATTATCAGCTCGGTGACAACAACTCTCTGTCAAGCAAATCAATGAAGGAACATAAAACACCCAAATGAATGAATTGGCCCATAACCATGCAATGGAATCTTTCTTCAACACCAAATCAAATCCAACACAAATATCACACACATACAAGAATATCATTCCCATCATGGTATATAAGGAGGGACTCGCCGAAGATTCACTCGTTGTTGTTGTTGTTGTGGAGTTCTTTTTCATGTCATGGATGATGAAATAATAAATCACACTCAAACTCACTGAACAACTTAAGAGAAAACTATACAGTTTCATCCCACCCAAAAGAGTCAATGACGAAGAATTCAATAATTCTGAAGAATACATTAAGGGAGCGTAGAAAAATTGATTTAAGAAAGCCATGAAGAAAAAGAGAAATAAACAAATGAAAAGACACCACCATCTATTACTACGAGTCGATGAATGAATTATCCAAATGAAGAGTCTTGTTGGAGTCATTGCATGGTATGATGTTTTTTGAGAGACATCTTGAGCGACATCCATAATGAGAGGTGGTTCTTGGATATTGGAATCGTTCTTCAATGTGATACTGTTGTTTGAGGTTGTGGTGGTTGTAGTTTCTGTTGTTTCTAAAAGATGGTTCTTTGTGCGTGGTGGTTGGTATAAATGCCAAATGTCAAGCGTGAATCGAGTTATCAACAAGAGATGACAACACATGAACAAGACAATTCCATTCATCTCACTCTCCACAAGAAAAGTAATTTCTTCACACATCCAAATCCCAAACATTATCTTCATCATCAACGCACTCGTTCTTTCTTGTTGCTTGGATGCGGTTGAACGAGTGAAAACTTTCCAACAACAATACAAAACAATGAATCGTTTGATGTAGGTGTTCTTCGCATGGACATTTTGAAAGATGGTTCTTATCATGAACCAATATGGTAAAACAAAGAAGCAGGAGTTGAACGAGTGAATTGTCCAAAAAAATCGACTGAAATCCACCATCAAAATCCAGATATACAGTGGGAAGATTGGGAAATAGAGAAGATTCCAGTTCTTGATGTTGCTTGTCATATGGCAATGAAATGGTGGCGTTAGTGTGAGGTTCGAACTAGTTTTTTTACTTGTCAAACACAATGTGCTTCAGTGACAACCGTTGGAACTAGAGCTACAAACGTTAACATAACAAGTCACTCTTCACATTTAAAGAGAGAGTATTCTGTTTTTATAAACCGAAATCAGAAGAGGAATCTATTCATATGTCAGCGCCAAAATCAAAACAGTCATGAGAACACATTCTTTGCAACACACGAACTCTTCTTCATGAAACCCTTTCAAGAAGAACCTAAACCAACAGCGGATGTTGTAACCACTAATACGTGATGAAATTGAGTGCAACAAACGAAGCATGGAAATTCAACTGTACAGTAAACGAGTTGAAGAACACGAGTCGAATGAAAGAATCGAGTTGGAAAACAAGATGAAGGTGTGAATGAAAGAGATGTGATGCCTGTTAATCCGAGAAAAATCGACCTCAGATTGGTCAATTTGACTCCAAATTAAAAACAACACTAGCGTTGTGGTTGTTTGGCTCTGCATTCCGAAAATTTGATGTGTGTGAAATCATCTCAAACCTTAACATTCTCAAAGAAAATAACAATTCAGTTCGAATTTATGCTTAGTTCAAGAATTCTTTTTGTACATTCGGGAAAACAGGACAAGAAAGAAAATGGAATAATAGAATTATTCATTGGATTCAGCTCTTGAAGATCCTCTTCCACCTCTGCTGCTTCCTCTGGTACTAGATCCTCTTCCACCTCGATATGAAGAGCTTCCTCTGCCTCCACGACCTCTTCCACCTCCTCTGCTGCCTCCACGAGTGCTTCTTCCGGTTCCGTTCGACATGGTCTCTCCGAATGTTTCCAAATCAAGTCTTTGTTGTTCTTGTCTTTCTTGTCTGGTTCTTCTATTTTTCTTTTCATCACTTTCACGACTAATAGTATCAAAAAAGCCGCTTGATTTGTCGTATCCTTTGTGAATATGCTTTTCCTCTAACTCTTTAGCAATAACAGTCTTGTCAAGCTTTTGAAGATTGGCTTGAATGTCAAACTCCTCTTCGAATGTTTTTTTGTCCTTTTTGGAAGCACATGTTGGCTTTTCGGAAGTGCTAGTTGTTGCTGCAGTGGTTGTTGTTGTGGTAGTAGTAGTTGGTGCTGTTGTTGCTGACTTAACATCTTCTTGAATGTTTGTTGAAACAGCAGGAGTTGTTGCCACAGCAGCAACAGGAGAAACAACCTCACTAGATTTTAATTGTTGTGAAACCTGCTCTTGTGGTTGAGGAGAGGTGGTTGAAGGCACTGATGATGGTTGTTGTTTTGGTGGTTGTTGTTGTTGTTGTTGAATGGGTTGGGTTGGTGGAATCTGGGTTTGTTGTTGTTGCGGTGGTGGAACATTTTTGGGAGGAATGTTTACCATTGGATTTGGCATTCCCATTGGATTGAAGCCCATTGGTCCACCATAAGGAGGATAAAAGTATGGATTCATGTAAGGATTCATGTTTGGTGGCATCATTCCAGGACTTGGAAAACCAGGAGGATTATTTCCGCCCATTGGGAGTGTTGGAGGGTAAGGCATTCCACCAACTTCATTTTGCGGTAATCTTGATGATGAAGGCATCATGGGTTGTTGTGGTTGTTGCTGAGGTGGTTGAGAAGGAGGTTCACAAACAGTGAGATCCTTGATATCAGTTCCCTTGAAGATGATGAAGGGATAGATCTTGTCGAGAGGAGGAATTTGTTCTCCTTGCTTTCTTCCTTCAGTACCAAACATTTTGACTATTATTATTGATGAAGATTATGATGGTGTTATTGCAAAAGTGAATTATCATCATCATAAGGTGTTGTATGATTGATGGATGTCGTCGAATCATCATCATCAAGTTGTTGTTATTATTATTATTCGAAACCAATCCAAAACGAAAAGATCAAATCACACAGAATATAATAGTTATGGTGGTCAATTACAAGAACATGTTAATAAAACAAACAATAATAACACACAGATGCGGATTACATACCATCTCTCAAAGCTACAGTACTAGAAACCGTATCCACATTAAAAAGAATACCCTCATAACGAATATCACTTTTGGAAATCAAACTAATTTTACTTCCAACATAGGGAGTTCCTTGTGGAGGCTTTGCATCAGGTGGATTGCCAGGTCTTGGATTCATCATGATGACACAGAGAAAGAATTGGCTTATTTTTTTTTTAATGAATTCCTTTTGTAAAATACGTCCAAGCTTTTTATTTAACACCCATCAATATTTCGATACTATCAGGCACAACAATCTTAATGACGCATTGTGGGACTAATGTTTGAAAATTGTTGGTTGCAATATCTCATTGTTTAAATGATCAGGAAAACAGTATTGTATGAATTGGATGTTTTAACACCTCGATTAATTGCTCATCTTTTGAATTTTTGATGAAATCCAATTATACAAGGTTGCATTCTTGTTTTGAATTGAAGCATTGGTTTTTAAAAACTCTAAAGCATGAAGGTAACATTGTAATGCTTTTTCTCTGTGGTTTGCATTCAGCACATACAGGTCGCCCATTTTAGCATGAGATATCACTACACTCTCCACAGTTAGGTTGCTCGAAATCAGCTGTTCATAAATTTGCTTGGCTCGTTCTAAATTTTTCATTTTGTACAAGAAGAGATCCCCCAATTTGATGGAGGTGACAGAGAGCACCTTGGCCAATTCTTCTCTATCATTTATGGATGGATTCTGCAATATGCTTGATGCGCTGTTGACGGTAGAAATAGTTTCTTCCAACATTTCAGCAATTTGTGAAAAGTCATTCGAAACTGTAGTTTGCAACATGTCGCTTAAATGACCAGAAACAATACAAAACAAAATCAGTAGCTTTGGAGACAACTCAGATTTGGCATGAGTGGCAATGAAAATGTCTTTGAACGCAATACTTCTTGCTTTTTCCATCCAATAGGGGCCACAGTTTTTGTTTAACGCATATTCTTGTTTTGATAAATTAATATAAAATTCAATTCTTCGTAATTTCAACTCTACTTCATCGAGCTCCGAATTGTTGTTTTTGCTCCTCTCATTCTCATTTCTTTCAAATAATATTTCAACATAACTATCTGTTAGGTGCTGCTTAAAATCATCAGCTTCATAATTTGATTGTTGTCCTTCGTTGGTATTCATTAAATCTTGATAACAATATTTACAAAGAGTTTCTGTTTTGGAGCTCATACAGCCAATCAAATAGGCAGAGCATTTGTTACATTTGAAATCAGAGGCTTTCATTGCAGTTGCAGATTGTTCTCCATTTAAAAAAGATTGGTAGGGACATTTCAATTCTTGTTGTTGATTATTGCTTGTGTCAGTTAAAGTGGAGGTATCGGAAACTGATGAAATGTATGGGCATGTTTTTGGAACATCATGTTGTTGATTCAATATTACAGACATGTGTGGGTGAGGAATACGATTCAAGAAATTCTCCTGTTTGATCAAAGCCTGTTGCTCTTCCTCCGATAAACTCGCTACATGAGGACATTGTTGGATGAGGTCCATCAAGCGACTTTGGTTTTGCATTTTTTTGTTGTTGTTCTCATTCTTCTCCTTTTGCATTTCTATCATAATTGACACAAATTAACTCTTGAAAATGATGTTTGGCTCTCCAACCAATCAAAAGAATTCTCGGAGAAAAAAATCCAGCAATCCCACAGAAGTTTACAAAACATCATTTTCCTTGCACCTTCGCTTGATCAAGCAATTCCCAAAGGGACTGATAATCTCTAGTGGCGGTGAAATTGGTCAAATAATAATAATAACGAACACGTGACACTTGTTGTAATGACTTCTATGGACGCGGCGCGGTCAAAGACCACCTCCTGTATTTACGTTTATTAAGTCTTTCAAAATTGCAATGGATTGATCATTGTAAGAAGGTGATTGTTTTGTAAGGGCCGATGAGGACATGTGATTATGGTTCAAACACGAAGAAGAAGAAGAATACAATGAATTCATACTGGCCGAGCTCTGTACTGTTCCCATCCCTTGAATTGCACGTGCTCTCTGTCCAATCAGTGACAAGGAACCACTACTCGCTGAGTGAGGATGAAGACTCAACGAATAAGAAGAGAAGTGGCTCGAACCTGCAGAAACCACACTCGTCGACGCACTTGTGATGGACGAAGACTTGTCATGCTGATGTCTCTGTTGAGTGCCAGAACAACAAGCATGATGATGAGTGTGTGGTTGTGTGGTTGTGGCACTTCCGTACGTGCAGGAGCATGAAGGTGGTGTTAGACCTGTGGGGGCATGAGGAGAAGGAGGATCATCATGATCTCCATAAAGATTCTCATTATGGAAATCCTCTTTCAATTGGAAATTCTCGTCTTGATTATTCCTTCTTCTCGAGATCGACGACGTCATTGATTGCATCTGAAGAACACTTCCACAATACAAATCAAAGAGCATTTCATCATCACCTAGAATACTACTAAATCGTCGGAACATGCTAGAGCGTTCTTCCATGTCATCCACCCTATCGCTGGCGTTATCTCCTCCTTCAATAATTTCAGATTCTTCCAAATCCTCTTCGTTCTCGTCTTCATCAGCCTCAGACCCTGTTCGGTGTGGATGAGTTGAGTCAAAATGATGATGATGATGATGTTGTTGTTGAGGTTGTCGTGGTTGAGGTTGTTGTTGTTGTACATGAGTTGAATTCACAGTTGTTGTTGAAGCCTTATCCACCCTACATCCATTAGTAGTAGTATTCAAGGTAAAGGAGAGAATTTCCTTCTTTCGATCTTGTTGTTGTTGTCCTGGCGATTTACCTCGATGATTCTTTCTCTCGCGTGAGGAGGAGGTGTTCGACGAGGATGGCGATTGAGGGGATGTTTGAAAGAACAACAACTTGTTCTTCTTGACTGAAATTGAAGGAGATGATGAGCTCGTAGGATGAATACTATTCTTCGAAGAGGAGATATCATTATCAAAGGGAGGTGTTTGAAGCGATTTATGAGATTGTGGAGTGGTGGTGTTGCTGCTGCTGGTAGTGGTGGTGGTGCTGGTAGTTGTCTCTGGTAATGAAGAAACCGATGAGAGAGGATCCTGTTCTTGTAATATTAATTGGGAAGGAGAGGAGAATGATGACTCGGTTTCGGTGGTGGTCTTGTTCTTCATAAAGACAAGACTTTTCGCGTCTCGTTTTCTCGACATTGGAGGAACAGCAGAAGAAGAAGAAGAAGAAGGGAGGTCACGAGAGTGATCTTGTTGTCGGTTCCTATTGGCCATTCCACGATTCACAGCAGATGGAGAGGAGTGAATGTCTCCACTTCTCCTCACAGAAGTGTTTGTATTTCCCATATATGTTGTTGTGAAGTTGTTTTTGAATTGTTGAATGTAATGATGTTCGAATGTATTATACAAAGAATGTACAGATCTAGTAGTAGTAAATGTAGAATTTCACAAGTTGTTGTGGTTGACCACTAGCAAAGTTGTGGTGTGAATAAGTTGTTGTTGTATGAGAGTGGTTGTGGTGGTGGTGTTGTTAACTTTTGTTTCAACAAGTGTCAGAAGCGTCAGTCAAACAGAATTTCGTTTAGATGCATAGAGAGAACTTTCTTAGACGTCTATCACAGAACGTTGACTTGTTGTTGTTCCTTAGTGGGGATTCTCTCTCTCTCTCAATAACAACAACGAAGGTACAAAAAATTCGTTTCGTTGAATTCACGTTTGTTGACAACAACAGTTGATGATGATAAAGGAGAAGAGACACACAGATGATGCGTGCTGGATGCGAAAATTAGATGTTTTGGATGAGGTTTGAGAATATGAGGATGTTGAATTCTAACACCAGCGCCAATCCAAATCAATAATTATTATAATAATAATATGGGACTGATGATGAAGATTGCAATAAACGGATGCGATGGTGATGATGAGGAGATGCTAATGTCGATGGGTTTTTTTTAAAATAGCTTTATGCGAATCTGGATTTGTTGAAATTGGAAAAACATTTATTTTCATGGACCTTCGAGACAAATTTGGACGGATATATATGGGAGATGACTTGTGACAGGGAAAAGAAAGTAAGGCTAAACTCAAGGAGCTATTTCAGAAAGACGTTGTGAAGAATTAAGAATTTTTTAAGGACCTTGGCAGCCGTGAAATCATGTCAAACTCCAAGGATTAATCCACAACCGGCAACACAACTGCTATCTGAGCACTCACGAGGCACAGAAATGCGTCATTGTCATGCAACAATAGGCATGTTCACAATTTTAGCTTTTAAAAGACTTTGTGTTTTTATCAAAGACTCTTTGCCTTCAACTATTAACTTGAGTCTCTGTTGGTGTTTATGATCATCACGAATTTTCAATTTCGTTATTAATTATTTTTATTAAATTTTAAAACATTTCAAAAAAAATGTCTCGACGATTCCGAATCGAATTTACCACTTTGCGACAACTGCGGAGCCTTTTCTTGCGTTCGTTAGAGATTCAAAAGGAAGTTGGAGGAATATTTCAGCATCATCAATCCGAACACCACTGATGGTTGCTTGTGATATTCAACTCAAGAAGAGAAAAGATACAGGATATTTATCATGAAGAGGATGTTGATACAACAGAAATAGCGTCGGAATGTATCGATGAGCAAAAGGATGAAACGATTCTGCTGTTGGAATTACCAACGTTGGATGAGAGCTTTTGTGTATAGTGCAACTGATGTCATTATTAAGAAGTGGATTGACCTCGAAGATGAGATTGTTGTGGATAATTATTCGAAAAAGCTCATGAAAAAATTGAGTACAAATTCAACAAATACAGTGGTTGATGAGTCACATTTCGTCGATCATTTGAAGCATTTAATACACACGACTCTCAATGATGATAATCCGTTTTGGGCTAGTGAAGAGAATGCACTAATGAATAATGGATTCAATGAGTACATTGGTAGCTGGTATTACATGATGCGAAAAAAGGGATTGTTCGCAAAAGAAATACTTCCCAGATTTTCATATTTAGGATATCAATACTGGTGGAAAAACAAAGTGTTCTCTATTGAAAAAAAGAAGCAGCCAAGAACAGTAAGCAGTAGCGATATCTGTGAAGTTGTAAATGTGGAAACAATGAAACATCTGGCTGACCTGCCATTGAATAAGCAATTGGAATGGTTTCAGAGTAAGGAATTTCTATCGATCGATTATTCTAACCACAAGCTACTGCAAGATTATTTGACAACAATGAGAAACTTTGGATTTTATATTCAATTTTTCAACTGGAATTGTGGGCAAATAGATTTTGTGTTTGTGAAATCGTAGCTTGCCATGATTTTCGTGAAGTGTTCGATTAAGACTATCCCAGGAAGAATTAGATAATTTTGTCACCATGGTTTTTCCAAACTTTACTGGTCGTTTTTTTCGTGATTTTGATTATGTCCATTTGGAGAAGGTGATCCTTTCTATTTGAAATTTTGACTAAAGGAGATCTGGTATCTTTTGATTCTTCACCAAGATGTTAGCCATATGAGAAATTTCAAAAAGTGAAGCCTTGTCTCTAATGATCAATAATTTTCTAAATTCTTCCACAGGATGGTGTGTCAAGAATCTACATTTTGAGGCCAGATGTTTCTTAAAATACTTGCTTTTACGAGAAACATGTCCAAATTCATTAATCCCACCCTTCTCAAATGCTTCCTTCTCAAGAGAAGTGTTATAGGGTTTTGGCCGAATTCCTATAAAATCACACAATTCTTCTTGCTCTTTCAAGTTGCCGAAATAAAGCGAACCAGAAAACACATGCAAATCAGTTAATAGAGATTGAGAAAATTCACGTTCTGAATTGCTCAAAGGAGTACATGGAGTACACATGACGTTCTCGTCATAAAGAATGCTACTTTTAGGTCTCATTCTTGAGCAAAACATGTACAAGCGCACAGGAGAGTTCGATGTGATTCTTTGAATGAAGTAATTGGCTTCAAATGGGCTCAATATCAATGCAACGTTTGAGATTTTGGAGCAAGCAATCCAAGTAAGTGGTGTCATGAATTCCTCATGTGTTAGTTTTAGCAATGATTCTTCGCGTACAACTTCAATAAATTCTTGCGTTACATGTAAGGCAGGATTCCAACACGATTTGAGGCAAGTCTCGGACAAAGTTGTTATTTTAAATGCCTGTCCAAGTGAGACAATGGACTGTCCAAAGGTATAAAAGTTACTGCGAACAATTGAATTAAAGTTCAGATTAGAGGAGAAGTGTGACATTATTCCAGTTTGCATAAAGTTCTCCACATCACGTGTCAGAATGGACTTGGCAGGAGTTTTTGGTGGAGGTCGTTCGACTCGTTTTTCTAATTCCAATTCATGTTCCAACTCTCGTTCTTGTTCTTCATTTAAGACTTGAGAAAACACTTTTGCGTCATTTGCACGAGATTGTATACTGCTATTAATTTTGGAAACAGTTTCTGAAAATTCTGGATACTGTTCATCGTAGTCTTTCTTCATAGTCACAAATCTTTTATCAAATATTTCTGCAATAGTTCGAAGTTTTCTTTCATTACCATAAAAATGTTGTAATTCAGTAATTTCATCTTCTTTGCATCTCTCAATATATTCTTTCAATGAACATGTTGAATCATTATTATTCTTTTGAATGCTTAATATAGATTCATTTTCTTTCATTCTTAACTTTGCTGATTGCTTAATAGAGAATAACAAGCCATTAGTTGCCCATTGCAAATAGTGTTCTTGTTCCATATTAATTCTATTTGAAATGGACCACCTGACGATTTTTTCTTGAATATTTTCACATCGTTCATATTCCGATGAATGAAGGTTTGTGTCAACTTCTGCCGATGCCCAAAATGCAACACTTTGGCCTTTTCCAAATAATCTCATTCTCATGCATGTCTGAGAGAGTCGTTCAAATGTCACACCATGTCCTAATGTTACAGCGGCCTTGGCGTTATGAGGAAACTTTAGATCGGTGCCTCTGGTGTGAATATCGTCTAAATAACATACACACTTATTCAAAGAGTTTTTGTATGGTGAAAACTCGAGTGGAGTAATGATACCATTTCGATCCAGCACCATAATTCGATCTTCATCGTTAAAAAAGACAGATGCATCAACTCCCTTGTCTTGAGGAATTTGACTCAACCATTCAGATGCAACTTGCTGATTATTCATATCCAACATGAGAGCTCCAACATCTAATAACACTCGAATCGGTGGATTGCATTCACAAATTTGTTGTAATACTTTTTTTTGTCGTCATATTCGTTTCAATGACATGATAGTCTCCGTTTTCTTTCAATAAAAGCTTTCTTAGCATGTCACCTGAGGTGCCTTTTAGTGATGGAAGTTCATTTGGAATGATTGAGGTGGGTAATAAGAATGCCTTTGTTCCTGAAAATCCAGAGGTAGGATGTTGGGTCTTTTTTGCATAAATTCCAGGCGCTACTTGATAGTTTGTGTTTAAACTGTTTGCATTCTCTGGCAAAAACGACACGATTCAAGTAAAAATCAATGGTTGACATGTTCTTGGATAACATTGGATAAAGTTTTTGATATTTAAGTTGGTAGTCTGAAAGATTGATGGAGTGATAAGATTCCAATGAAGATGAGATTTGTTCCTTGTTTGGTATTTCATTTAACCATTTCTGGTATTCAATATCTGGATTTTGCATACAATCCAATGATTTAAAAACAGTATCAAGCTGAGAATGTGATAATCCAGAATAATAACAGCTTAACAAAGTGAGTAAAATTGCAACATCAGGATGTCCAAACTCTGAAAACAATGTCACACATTAAGAGCCAGTAGAATAATTATGAAAGAACTTACCTGCTCGTTCAGATGCAACATCTTTGGCCCTGAACGGAACAGCCATTAATTTGGTGGAATTTTCTCGTACTCCATAATTCACTCTCCATCTTTTGTTGAGTGAATGAAATAGAGTTTGATAGGAGAAAAGGCCTCTCATGATCAATAATTCGTACCATGTGATCGTATCTTCGTAGAGGGATCGAACTTGGTCCATTTCCTTTTGAGAAACTTCCTCCTGAATCATGAACCTTTCCAATAGTGTTCGATGTTCTGGTTTGTAAGGAATGTTGATATCCATCGCTTTCCCGTCCAAAATGTCTTGCACTAACATTGGAACAAATTCTTCCGAAAAAACATTTCGATCGAACAATCTGAAATAAGGGAATTCTGATTGATACAAACTTGGAATTTCATGAAATTCTGATTCTCGTTCAAATTGACAAGAAAAGGTTTTGGCATGCTTCTTAATGAGTCTGAAAATTCGTTGTGGTATTGTCCAACGTAAAGAAGCTGCGTCAAGAGATAATTGATCGCCAACTGTGTATATTAATTGATATCTCACATGTAGAATTTCGTCAGACTCATCCAATACATCCCTACAATTTGTATCCATCCAATCTTGAAGTTCAATAAATTTTCTTGACAGTTCGTATTGAGATTGTAAACCTTTTTCTAAACCCTTCAGTTCAAAGGATAATCTATACTCTGGAACTGTGATCAATACACCATTTCGTTCTTTTAATCTCTCCAAAGATAGTTTCAGTTGATCGATTTGACTTGATTCCAATTTTGTATCTCTTGAAAAAGGAATCATTAACACTCTTCTGTTCAAAATACCACCCAACTTGAAAACGAGTGACGTATAATTGGTGTTTAGAAGCTGTTTCAACACGGTTAAACGAAAAAGCTGGCCATGATTCAATTTCAAAGCAAGCATTGGGATAATTACTGATGTTTTACCTTCTCCCATATTGAATTGCATGACCATGTTCGTATCGCAATTCATCATGTTAGAAGCAACCTCAAATTGTGTAGGGCGGATCATCATATTCATTTCAATTTCTAATACGAGCCATTCAGGATGCATATTTGGTTGCCAATTTTTGTGTCCTGTATTTGCGAGCTCTCTTTCGTATTGAACTTTCTTGTTTTCATCTGCAGAAAGTGCTTGTAATCTCTTATTACGTTGTTTGTGTGTGAACAATACAGCAATCGATCCAACAAGATCCCTATGAAAGAAAGGATTCTTAGAGTTCTTCTTCTCAAATAGGAGCTGTGAGAGGATTCTCGTTGGATGTAATTTAGGCCACAATCCAGCTTTGGAAAATGCTACTGATGATGACCTCTTACATGGTTGATAAAGCATTTCCACTAATTTCCATAATTTTTCAAGCATTGAGGATACACGTTCTTCGCTTGTGAGTTCGCGACTACTGCATTGATAACTCGATCTAAGCTCTTCCATATAATCCAAAAACAAGGCATTATTGTTTGATGTGAAAAAGTTGTCTAGTGAAGTATCAGGAATTTTACCAGTCTTGAATATCAGTTTTGCCATTCGAAGATCATCCGAGTTCAGTGATGACTGAGAATGCTGCTTAATTTTGTACATGTACGTAAGAATATTAAAGTTTTCTTTTTTTGCACATTTTTCAATTCTAATGTCATGCAAAGATGGTAGTTCAGGTCGTGTAGACGGAACAATGGTCTTGAGTGTTTCAATGATTTTGTCAAACCATGTTTTTAAATCTATATTCACGCAAACTTTTTTCATGTAATCCTGGAGTTTCGTGAGTAAATTTTGCAATGAAAAATATTGAGAATGAAGAGAAATATGACTGTACGATATGGATTTAAAAGTATCAAAACACTTTCTAATAATTGATAACATTCTGCTTGTTCTTGACTGTATCTCTTGTTCGTACTCTTGTCTTAAACGGTATTGATAGTCTGATTCTGATTCATTATATCTTTGATAAGAGTGAGGTGCTTCGTCAAAACTCTTCTTCCAGTCGTTCAAGTGTTTTTTCAAAGTTTCTTCTTTCAAAGTAATTTCTTTTACATTTTCAATATCTTTTTCTGGTGTGGACAGCAATGGTTTTGGAAACTTTTGAGCATTGTTTAGAATAGCTAACAGATATGCCAATAGCGTTTCATAATTACTACCATATTTGTATCCTAAATATGAAATAAGAAATGTAACAAAAGTTTTGTTTTTCTTGACAGCCATGTAGTAAAGAGATAAAATGTGAGGAGGAATGTCATTGAGATTAGACCACTCCACAATTGAAGGAAGCTCTTGAATTGGTGACAAACATTTCATTCTTCCATAAATCTCGTACTGTACATCTCCCTTTGCATACAAATGATTCGTTCTCGAGCTCCAAGCTAACCTTCGAACGGATGTGTCTTGTGACGGTGGCCGATGTGTTGGAGCAAAGATAAAATTGCTCTCTTGTTTTCTAGCGTAAAGGTCACGTGATAGCCAAGCATTACTATTGTATTTGTTCATTGATTGATCGTACGCTCTTTCATTGAGAAATAGTAAGGTTGGAAATGGATGTTCCGTTTCTTTATCCTCAGCCAGTGGTTGTGGATATAGAAATGCCAATGATTGAGAATAATCATAAATCTTGGAGGCTATGATGACGAATGCATCATGAGCAGCCATAGTTGGAATGGATCTTGGCCATGTGACATATTCCATTTGACGCAAATGTTTTGGATAATATTTTCTTTCAGGAGATAAGGCAGCTATTTTGAGTAATAATGACAAATCAAATTCTTGCAGTGGCCGTTGCTGCCATGCCCGAGAAGAGTGCAAAATACGTAAAGCAGACTCAGTTCCTGTTTGTTTTGTGAAGAGATCTTCAATGACAGAAGAAGTGGTAGCATGAAGAAGAGCCAAAAACAACCAAGAGGATAAATTATCTTCACCCTCCAATTGCCAGAGTAAACGATTGACTCTATATGCAAAATACTTGACAGGATATTGGGTGTCATTGTTGATGCGTACTCTTTGATGGCTAGCTTCACTTGTGCTTGACACTTGAATGTCTCCATTCGGGACAATGATAATCCTGTCAGAATTATCAGACTCAAGTAATATGCCACTCTGTAGCCCAATGAGTGTTCCAATATTGCAGTGCTCGATTACCTTCATATCAAATTCTTTAGATCTCATATACTTTTGTTCAACCAAAGAAAAGTGTAATCCTTTTCTTGGTAAATCTAGTGTTATTTCGTCCAGAGATGCATTTACGAATAAATGGATGAAGGAAGAATCTTCAATTCGAGACACGGGTTTTAGAATTTCTCGAAAAGTATGTCCATGAACATCCATCAACTTGCGTCCCGTAGCAGTTTCAGTCAATATATTCCCTTGAAGGCTCAATACATATTCCACTTGAGAGTTAAAATTAGGATCAAAGAAACTTTTTGGTCGAAACAAAATTGAATTTGTTGTCGAGTCAAACCAATGGCTGTAATTGTTCACAAAATGATGTGGCAAATCTGTTTTAAAAAAGGTGTCAGAAAATAGTTTTAACTCTCCCTTTGAATTATTCTCAATGATCTCGACGCAATCTCCAAATTTGTTAAATTTGTAGTAAGCTCCACTGATCGGAGATTTTGTCACATAGGTTCCTTTTAAACTTCCAGGTTGTACATCAAAAACTGAAGATAATTGGTAAACACAGTATTCAAAGAAAGAGAATGATACGAACCATAATTTGAAAAAAGCCTTGTGTAATCGGGATGTCTTGTCACGATAGAAGGAAGACGTCCAACAGGAGCACCATCAATCAAAAAAGATCCCCTTAACACATCAATTTCAATAATCGTTTTCCCACAATGAGTTGTTAAAGTCGAATGATACCATCTGGAATGCGCTTCCTGGTTGTTGTATTGCTTCCATGATTGTAATTCTCCCTTACTGGCTTCATTCCAGTGGGAGATTACAAATTTGGATAGTGCTGTTGAATCTTTTTCGATTTCATCATGAATAACCTTCTCAATAGTATGGGATGTCATGTAGTATTGACGAAGTAGAAAGGCCATAAAACTTCCATAAGATGTTCCTTTGTTTAGCAGCATATTATCATGTATGATTGTGAGCGATTGGAGCCATGTTTGCAAAGCGTTCGGATCTTTTTCAAATATCAAAGAAGCATATTGAGGAGGTACTCCGTACGTCATTACAGTACAACAACAAATTTGTACCAAATGATTTCTCATTGCTTTCTGTTCACTCGTTGGTGCATTATTCATCTTTGGAAGTAAGTCCTCTACTTGTTGTGACCAGTGACGTGTTGTTTTTCTTACAGTCTCTACCAATTGAAGACAATCTTTTTGGATCTTTGCTGAATCAGTAATTTGTAAAATTCTCAATGTAGAGCAAATGATCATGCATGCTATACAAATGGACTTCCAATTTTCCTTGTACTTTTCCAATGTAGCTTCCAATAACTGCAATAAGCGCAAAGAAAAATCGTCGTTTCTTAAACTTTGGTTTGCTTCTCGAAACCAATCACTACTAGTCTCTCCGTTACTACATGCTTGCCATAAGCTTTGAAGTATCAGTCTTTGTACATCCGGTGTGTCAAAAGAAAGAGACTCGTTGGCCAAACATTTCGCAAAGTTATGTAATTGTAACCGGTGGCCACACCGTAAAATTCCAAATTCAATAAACTCTGAGAGGCTAAGATTGGTGTGGCATGTGTTCTGCTTTGCAAGTACTTCTTTGTGAGAATTCGCACAGCTATGGACTGTCCATTCTAGAGATTTATACACTGGCGATTCAAGTGGAAAATAGAAATCTTTTGTTCCAATTTGAGGTGAAGAATAAATCAACACTGCCTTATTTGCTACAACTGTTACATTACATACATTACATGCATTGGGCTGAATAAATGCATCTTCAGAATATGTGACATGTTTCTGGCTGTAATGCGATTGCGTTAAGCTTTTTACAGTACTTGCAAGTGTAACGTATTTTGGAGAATAAGAGTTTGATGTGAATTCTGATAAACCAAAGGAAGATCTCCATCGGCAATATATCTCGGTGGAATCTTCTAAAACTCGTTGTTGCATTTGACACAAAATATGAAATGCATCTCTTAAGTAGCCATATCCTTCGGGCAACTTTAGCTCAAATACTATGGCGTTTCTCAAATGTATCTCGTCTGGAAGATCCTTCTCGTAGATACAAATGTTCATATCATTGCACTGTTGCGTTAAGCGACACTTATTGCAAAATCTGCTATGCTGAGTATGGCCATACGTGTTTGTGGAATACTCACATTGCGAATTTCGGATCTTCCTTTGTAGATTTTCATATTCCTCTTTCATTTTTCTTACTTCCTGAAGCTTTTTTCTCTTTCTTTCGATCAATTCCATCAAGTATTTGTTTCAAAGTTTGCTGCATAATGGAATCATTTGTGGCATATCGCACACAAAAAAGATCGACTGGAAAAAGTGTTGGATAGAAAATCTGAATCATTGGTGGCTTGTTGATCATGCTCGTTAAAATACTTTTCCAAATCATGGGCATACTTTAGGTCTTCTTGTGAGCACAACAATAAGGATTGTATCGTGCTGATGTCCACACCAGACTTGTAGTGTGAGAGTAGAGGCATATTTTTAACTGCAATCATATGCAGTCCACGAACAATATTAAAAACAGTTAAGAAAAAATCTGCTTTTTCCTACCGGATCATTCTCATACAAGTTGGTTGCCTTAATATGATATTGTTCTAGTATTTCAAAGAGGTTTTTTGATTTAAATTTCTGTTCATGAATGAATTTCAACATATCTTTTCGAATCAAGTCTTCGATCTCACACAGGTATTCAAAGTCATTTCTTTCAGAAGCATCAACGTCCTTTGGAGGTTTGTGTACATACTGTTGACCTGTATATATGGCGTGTAATGAATCTCTCATGGTTTTTAAATGTTTTGAAGCGTTAGGGAGAGAGAGGTCTATTTCATTTCTAACATCTAAATGTTCTAAATTCATTGGAAAAGAGTTATCTTTTGAGCATGAATCGATTTCATTCTTCCACCAATCATCTGCGTTACATTTAAATCGATGGATCAGTTCTAAAGACATTTCCATTACATTTTGAGACAATGATACCAAATTATTGTCAAAAGTAGATTTTTCAATCATACTCTCCAATTTTGCCAACCTGACAGACAACTTTGAAAGCATTTGCATGACCAGATCGAAGGACATTGTTCCTTCGCTTTTAGAACATAAATAGCTCATAAAGCGCAACATGAATATTTTGTATAGGAGTGTACCTTTCTTCATGCCAAAGGACCACACCAAGTTCAATTGCAAACATGTCTTGATACACATCCAAAGACCTGAACGTCTGTACGGTTTTAAAGAATCTTTCCATTCTATAGAGTTTCTAATTTTCTTTTGAACGGTTGTGACAGGTACGTGGCCGACACAGTCCGTAAGTGTTGGTAATAGCCAATCGAAAATCAATTTGGGAGACGCAACATCTCTCACTTCGGTCTGTCTTTTACGGCCTTTGGATGATGTAGCCATTGTTTCTTCTAAATCCATGCATAACGATTGTAATTGATTGATAAAGTCTTGAGAAGACAATAAACAACCATCATAGACGCCTACTGACATTTCAGGAACTGTCATTACTGGATACCCCTTATGTTCCATGACTATGTTGTTTGGTGCATGAATTTGAAAGGCAGTGGCGATGAAACTGTAATTAGCGTGGCTTGGTGCTTTCTTGAGAACAAGACAAGAATTATTTCCAGGTAAGTAGAAAGGTAGTATATCCTGTTCATGTCGTAGCATGTCGAAAACTGTTTTTCCTACTGGTATGGAAATAGAAATTGGAGAAGTTTGCGTCTCTCTCCAATTTTCAAAAGTTCTTTGCACAGAATGGATATCGATATCAAAGTGAATTTTCCAATCTCGCACGATATCAGAATCATCCATAAAGTCACACAGCTCGCGCAACAAATCACAATTCTCTCCCACTTCTTTGAGAGGAAGTTTCTTGAAGAAAAATATTTCGAGCAGGAGTGAATTCATCATCACGCGGTTTGGGTGTAAGTGAGAGAAAATATTTTTTTGTTTGATGTGGAAAACTGACGTCGCAATAACTTTACATGAAGTTTTAGCTTGGGAATTCCCAACCTGCGAGACTCGAACAACAAGAGGACATGATACACTGTATAAATAGCACGTCATTTTTGAACAATTTATAATTCTCGTCGAATTACATCCTCCTCGAAATCTATCAAAAAAACGGTGTAGTCTCTATTCTCAGTCATGGCAACTCGGACTTCAGCCCTCTTCGTTATTGGACGAAAATACATTGCAAAGTAAAATGTAAATGCCTCATGAACATTGGTACTTACAAAGTCAGCTGCATTAAGAGCCCCTTTTATGATTCCAGCACTAAAGTATGCACATTGTACGTTCATGTCTCTGGGAGGCGAGATGTATTTAGTCTCCAGCGGTTCTTTTTCGTAAATCATGTCTGTTCAAAATGAGAAATTGAAAGATGTGACAAAAGAAATTCACACACAAGTTTAAACCTACATCGAGTAATAACTGGCTTGAGTTGTGGATTGGAAGTATCGGTTTGTGTACTGGCAGCTGCTCTTTCGATAGTACTCACTCCCCGTCCGTATAAAGTTTTCCACAATGTATTTCCAATAAAACCGAGCATGTTGTTGACTTTGATTTCTCTTTTGGAATTCTTGTCTCTCAATACACATAATTCCAATAATCGTTGTCCAATGGGAATGCCCAGCTGCATTAATCTTTTGACACCACAATCAGTAATAATAAATTATTATTGTTCAATTAAATTCAATGAAACCAAGATCAATTTTTTGATAATTAAACAATGACATATTCATCATCAACACCTACTTTTCATGTAACTCATTCATATCATTCACTCGGGATTGACAATACTGTACAACTTCAGCAAAGAGGAAGGAAAATATGGTCTCGCTCACTTCCTTCTTTGGCCTGTTCAAATTTTGATCCAAAATATTTGGAGCATAATCTCTCTGTGGTAGCACACTGGGTGTTGTTGGTGATGAAACCGATGGTGGAGGAACAATTGGTAAATTTGTGCCCGATGATGATGACGAGATGATGTTAGGGTTGCTGGTCGATCCGAATGGTGATTGATTCATTTTTTTTTGGATTGGCCATCCAAAACCAGTCCAAGTCATCACCATCTCTTGCTTCATATAACACAATAGTTATTGATAGGATGTATTGCAGTAAATAATCGTAGTGTATTATTTGTGAATGTTTAAATAAATTGTTTCTCATTCTCTACATCATTCCTGTAATTTTTTTGGAAGAGGGTTTTTTGTATGACAAATCACAATTAAATGCGACCAACAGACCCTTTTTCCACATTCACACAACCAACATCTCGGGATTTGTTCGAGAATTACTGTCACATCAACAAACCAACATGTTCTAAATACTATCTCATGTTGTTGTTCTATGTGCACAATGAACATTCATAAACAATATCATGGCAAGTCATGCAAAATCAAAGAAAAAAGTGACCTCAAAAAATTTGACATGGTTTATAATTTCTTCTAAATACTATCTCATAAATAATAAATTTTTACATTTCCTGTAATTTCATTTGTTAGTTTGTGTGCATTTCTTATTCAGATGGACATATATATTCATTAGTAAGTGGATCTTTGAAACAGGTATTCCAATGTCGACTTGTGTTAACTGAAATTAATTTTGCAAATTTCTTTGGTGATACAAAACCACCATCAAGCTCGGGCTTCAAAATTTTCTAAAAAGAACTCCCTGAGCACAGGTGAAACAATAACCGACACCATGTGTGGTGAGACCATTCTTTGCTAGGTCCTTGTTTATCTTTTTGCGAATTTGAGATCCAATTAATGCAAAGAGTTCAGAACATATCAGCCTGATCCTGTTGGACACTTTTACTGATGATGATGATTTTCAATTTTTTCAATTTTTTTCGCAAAGTCGGAGTCGCTGAAATTTCTAGATGAACTTAAGACAAGGGACAAGTTCCAGGTGGCTGTTTGAGGCTCTTGACGAAATCAATTGCAATTCGAAGAGCTGATTCCAAACTGTGCCACTTTTTGTTTGAGTAGTTCTGTCTCGTCTGGGGTCTTGTTGAGACATTTTTTTGCTCTCGTGTGTCTGAACAAAAAAAATGAAAGTCGTCATTTCACATCACAGCGTTTTGAAAAGTGAGGATGACAAACAATATGTGGTAAGTCATCATCAACCTGTGCTCTCTCGATGATTCATTGTTGAATTTATGCCGCCACCAACACCACCACCATTATTATTATTATTATTAATGGAATGAATAACAAACATGATGATGATCATTGCTCTTCATGTTCCGAATTCGAAATTTTTGTTGAGATAGGTCTATCATGTCACTGTAAATTATGATGGAGTCATTTGGGAAATCTGTAAAAGATATTCCGAAATGGAAAAATTGCACAACTTACTTTCAAAAATAATTAACACGAAAAAGTTTGGAAAATTCCCGAAAAAGGTGAGTTATCGACACTAAATTTTCATTCGTTCATTAACATTTGATATTATGGAATACAATGATTCATGATCTCCGTCTTTTGGTGAATGATATTATTGATATTTCATCATCCTTTGCGAATCAACTTTACCACCATAAACATCATGTAGTACCTCGTTGGAAATTTAAAAGAAGACAAGGTGAGTCATTGACACTAAACTTTCCTTCATTAACATTTGATATTCACAAAGATTCATGAACGACAAATGGAACTCCAAAATTATTTTGATAATTTATTGAGCGAACCTCTTGTTCCAACGTTACAGGAAATTATTGAATTCTTTGAAGTGAATAAGCACTGGAATGAAATTAAGAACAGCAAAGGAGGTACTTTTGCATCGACCTCTTCTCAAAGCCAATCTTCACAAAAACAGTATAATCAAATGGTCACAGTACAAGTTGAATCCTCAAGTCAAGAAGTACCAGTTTATAATATTGTTAACTCGAACAATTCTTCTTTACATGGTGTTGTAAAAAGTCCAACCATTCCAAGTCCCAACTCAAATCAACAAGCTGAGGAAGAAAAGAACAATAACAATTTACAACAAAATCAATTCATGGCTATTCGTGACCATTATGCCAAGGACGAAACTGAATTGACTTTTAGAGCAGGAAATATAATTGAGGTGATTCAGAAAGGATCCAATGATAGAAATGAAGAGGATTGTTACTGGTATGGTAGAGCTGTTGCAAATGGTTCTCAAGGATTTTTCGACGCTCGATGTTTGGATTTAGGTAAAAATTACAAAGCTCCAAGAATTATCTCTGTTCTAATGAATGACGACGTCTATGACACAGATGATAGCGTGCAATTGGATGGAACTATTAAAACCATTGAAATTGATTACGAAGCAGAAGGAGAGGGAGAAGTGAGCGTACAAAGAGGTCAAAAAGTTAAAATTCTTCCTTCCTCTCGTCAGACACGAAAAGGTTTTAAATTAGTAGAGGTCTTATCAGACTCATGCCAAACAGTGATAGCTTCTGGTTATGTTCCCACAGAATACCTCATGATTTTATGAGAGGATGACTCTCCAGAAATCTAACCCTTACACAAACTTGAGCCACATGATCCTTTCCAATTTTGCAACCACAAATAATTTACCAAATGAAAGAAAATAATAAAACACACAACAAGTGGTAAAATGAGCTATTCCCTCAATACTCAACTTCTCACCATTGATTCTTAAATGTTCAGCCTCACATGAATGGACGATTTCTTCTGTTTCGTAAATGGCTCTCACACGGATTCCTCTTTTGTAATCCAATTAATTTGTAAAATGAATGAACAACGTCCCCAGTAAGCGCCATAGATCAAACTCCTTCTAAATAAATCAAAGCCTTCCTCATCAACTCCGACACTCGATCACTGATCTTCTCTCACAAGGATGAACCTCCTCATCGCGATGAGACAATAAACAACAAAAAAATGAAAAGCCTCTTCCGTAGGAGTGTGAGAAATCCTGAAAGTATCTCGGCAGTGATGCCCAATCATCAGGGTCATCAGAATTTCAATAACAGTAGTAGTAGTAGTAACATCAGTACTATTTCGTCGCCCAATTCTACAGGCTTACCAGGATCAAATTCTTCATCATCATCATCACCAGGATTATCATTTTCATTTCTTTTACCGACTGCGGAAAATTTAGCAAGAGAACCACCCTGTGGGCATGAGTTATTGGAATATTCAAATGGTGATATGTACGATGGAGAGGTAAACTTGAAAGGGCAACGACACGGGTCAAGCAATTGTTGGTTTTCGGAATATGCTGAAAGAGATTATCCACCAAATTACAATACATCACAACCTGCTATAAAGCAGTTTACCGGTAAATGGTTTTCTAATTTGCCATGTATTGGTAAGTAGTTGTGTGTTGTTGAATGGACTTGCTTATTGGAATAACACATGTTTTTTCAAATTTTAATGAATTGACATTTGATCTCTTTTCACAAATGACGACTGTGATGATCGCCTTGAACCGGTTTCACTGCCATACAGATACACCTGCTGTGATCCAATACAGCAATGGAGATCGATACTGTGGTGCTGTAATGGCATTCACAGAAGAGCTTTTGGATGACTCAAATGTACTATCAGAATATTACAATCGTAAAACTGTGAGCTCACCTTCCTCGAGTGCGTCTCCTCTACAGTCATCTAACACCAGTACAAATAATTCAAATTCCTCTAATTCAAAGAAAAAGAAGTCCCCTTTCTCATTTAACAGTACAAGTGAAGCAAATAATATTTTCGGTAACATACCATCAGGAGAAGAGGGCTTACCATTCATCATGAAGCACGGAGAGGGAGAGTTACATTATGCAAACGGATCAAAATATAATGGAAGTTTCTTGAGAGACATGCGTGAAGGATTTGGAGTGATGATAGACATGAAAAATGAAACTGAATATTACGGAAATTGGAAAGACAATGAAAAGAAGGTTTCGGTACCATGATCTTCAAAGACGGTACTGTGTATGAAGGAGAATGGAAAGCAGGCTCTCAGGGAGGACGAGGAGTATTGCGATTACCAAATGGAGATAGAATTATTGGAGAATGGAGCGGAAATAATATCAAAAAAGCCACCTATGAAAAAGGTACTATACAACACGTGAACAGCAAATGTCAAGTAATGCTTCTGAGAGAAGAAGTTAAGAAAACTGAGAAAAATGACAGAACTACGTCATTTTCACATGTCTAACTCCAATACTGGCAAAGAAGACCTTGTCACCCAACGAAAATGGGACGGACTTTTTGCCAGCTTTACAGATGCCATAAATTATGAAAAGAGAAATTTGCAAATAGCTCAATTTCAAAATTTATTGAAGAAAAAGAAAGCTCAAGAAGATAGCGTATCACCCATGTCAAGAGTGAAAATTCAAGATACTTTACAGACCTACCTTACGGATGCAATGAGCCGAAAATTGACGAAAATTACCTATGATAACCTCACACAGATAGTCCACAACACTGAAGAAATTTTGCCAATTAACGGAGTTCTCTCAACGGCAACCAACGATCACGTTCTATCGAGAATAATTTCAAAATTTGTAAATCTTTTAATTGGAAATATCATCAAAGTGATATCCAATCCACAGCATCTGCCAAATACCATATTCCTCATGCTCTTGACGACTTTGTAAGTACGAACATGTTAGAGTATTTTCTGTCATAACCATGTCAGCATTCCTTTGTGATATTTTTATTTGAGAAAACCTGTTTTATTATTGGAGCAGATGCTACCGTATTATTCGGCCATAAAAAGCTTCTGTATGAACTTAAAGACCATGTATTGAGTAGAATTTATAATGCATTATTCACAATCTATAAGTTTTGCGTAAGTACATATAAATTATTGACCACGTTAAAATATACACAAAATGTGATGTTACATGCCACATTCAGTATCAAGAACAAGACAACATGTATAAATTCAAAACACTTGCTCTCTCTACAATTTCCATGCGAGAATTGGGTGTTAAGGAGGGTTTTATTCCAACAGATGAAATTGTATTATTTGAAAATCCGTATGATCAATGTATAAAGAAACTTAGAGAAATTTCCACAGAATATACAACTGCTCATCAAAAGTTGGATGTGCTTGTGCAAGTTGGAAAAGAATTAATCACAGCTATAGACTTTATTGAAGAGAAAAAACGAGGTAAAATTTCAGATCGAGGTGCTGATGACACGCTTCCTGTCTATCTCTATGTTTTCATTCAAGCACAAATTCCAAACGTGTATAGTACATTTAAGTTCTTATTAGACTTTATGGATGAAAAAGCTCAAACTACAGAGCAAGGTTATAGATTTTCTGTTTTTGAAAATGCAATTCAATACATTCCAATGATAGACTCGTCGATACGAGATACCAATGGCATTCTAGTTCCAACCTTTGTGTTAGAGGATCGACTAGAGAGCTGTGTAAAAAAGATTAGAAAAGAATCAAGAGAGGCAGGTGATGTCCCGCGCCTATTATGGATGAGCTCTTTATTTATTGTTGTTGGAAGCACGCTATCTGAACAGTCACAAACTCACACATGTGGCAATACTACGGGAATATCAAATGTTATTCCAATTACCCACAAGCAACATAAGGAATTATTGAACAGATATCACAAACATGCAGAGAGAATTCTCAAATGTATTTCACTACAACTTGAAGTTCAAGAGCTGTCACCATTGCCAACAACACCAACGGCAGAAACTCCTGTTTCTCCCAGAGAACAAGAAGATTGGACTCCACTTCAAAAGAAAATGTCAAATGCAGATTCAACCCCAAGGATGGTCACAAAACAATTTGTTATAATTGTAGAACAGGTGTATCCAAGTCATATTTACTTTAAGCTTGCCAGAAAGCTTGAAGAATTACTGGAAGAAAATTAAAATATTTACAAAATAACTGATTATTTCATAAACTATGTTTCACCGAAATTACATGACAAATAAGGAAGCGTAATTAATTTACTGATGGTTCAAGTTTTGGATTTTCGACGACTTTCCAAATTCCGAGAGTGTAGTACATTCGTATGAGGAACAAGTCACGTGCCATCCCAATAATTCCCCAAATATTGACCTTACTACCTTCAATTTCTGTCCAATTTACAGGGTGTTCAAATATTGGGATTTTCATGGTGTTGCAAATATGAATGAGATCAATATCAAAGCACCACCTATCTATTTTCATGTTTGGAAGTACTTGTCTGACGGCTTCTCTGTCCATCAGCTTGAATCCGCACTGTGTATCACTAATATTAGTTATATTTGCCACAAAGTAAACAAGAAAATGAAAACCATACATGGTAATATTTCTATACCATTTTCTTTCTCGTTTGACACCCTCTATTAAATGATGTCTGCTTCCAATGACCATATATCCATGCTTGGAGTTGTTTTGTTGTTTCATTTCCTCCATTTTAGATAATAACTTGTCCAAATCTCTAATATCTGTGGCATTGTCACTATCTGCAAATAATATTAATTTTCCACGTGCTCTAATCATTCCTTGTTTGACTGCGAATCCTTTTCCTTTGTTTTTATCAATCTTAATAATTGAATATCAATATTTGGATTTCTATTGATGTAATCTTTCATAAAATCAACAACTACTCCGATGGTATTATCTGTACTTCCATCATCCACAATCATCATTTCACATCTAAATTGTGGATTTTTCTCAATTTTCCTTTCGAGATATTGAAAAGTGTCTTGAAGAGTGACATGAATCCGACTCTCTTCTTTGTAGGCAGGAAGAATAATGCTCAAATCCAAATCAGGTTCATTTAAAACCGAATATTGTTCAGCCTTGTTCTTATGTCGTTGTATAAAGAGTGGATTATTGACTTGAACTTTTTTCTGTTTGTTCTTCATTCCGAATCGATCGCTATTTAAATCATCGGCTGAGATGAAAGTAAAATCCGATAGCTTCCATAATGTGGTTTGTGCTTTTGCTAACTTTTTGAACAACAAATAGGATCCAATTAGAAAAAGTAGAGTCATGATGGCCAATACGATCAGGAGATGGGTCGTCGATGAAGATACGAGATGTTGGAGCATTTTTGTGTGTTCAGTTATTGAATCCATTCGTATACGTCCAACAATAATTTGGAAACTTAAGGTTACAAATTGTTCATTCTCGCGTGTGCTCTGATCTTTGAAAAACACGTGTTTATGAATAAGGCAACAGTTTATTCATGAAAAGCGTAAGAGTCTCATGATGATCCAATTTGAACTCAAAAAATTGGAGATATTGCATGATTTTGTTTATCACTGCGAGGAATCATTCCACATTAAAAACATTTTAAAATACATGTGTTGTGAAAGTAATGAAATTGCCATCTTATTGAGATGGTGACAATGAAATTACGAATACTTCATTGGTAGATCTCTATTCTTCCTCCTCTTCCTCTTCAGCAGCATCTCCTTCCTCTTGCCATGATTTTTCAACCATTTCTTTCACTCTTCTCTCATAAAGCTTTCTATTTTCAGTGTAAAGTCTTGCAGCCTCGCTGTTTGCAGGTGAGTTTGGATTTGGATCCGTCAACAAGCTTTGAATAGAGGTTAAAATTGCAGCAACGTCATAAATAGGACTCCACTGATTTTGAAGAATATCCAAACAAATTTGACCATCATTATAAACTTCAAGATTCAACAGTGCAACATGATATTCCGAAATTAAAATTCAATTAATCAAAACGAATGAACATCATATTATTGTGAAAAGGAATTGAATCATCACGTGAGTGAATATATTAAAATGAATAACGGAAATTACATACTATTTGGATGAAACATTTTGGTGAGGAACTTCACTTTTGGTGGTTTGTTTGGATAATCTTCATTAAACGAGAGACTGAGTTTAAATGTACCTCCTT